GCTTGTCTATTGTGATTTCATCGTGTCCGAAAACGCCAACAGTAAGCTAGATTGAAAATGACTGGATCAGTTGTAAAATTATGAACACCGTAGTTTTACTCTTTTCCCCCGAACAAGAATTGAAGTTATTGAAGGTGCCAAACTGTCAACGACTTTTCTGAGTAGAGCGGCACAGTATCTAACTACATTCCTATAAAGCTGCATAATTACTATTGGCCAAAGATACAAAAATGAAAGATGACAAATCAGTTAACATGAACGGAACAAGGTCACAAATATTTTCTCGTAATATATTATATTCATCTATATATTCAAGCATTAACACGCAAAATCTACTGAAAAACGTTTTACGAGATGATGTTACGGGTGTCAGCAACTAAACGCGACGGTTATCTAACAGCTTCTCTTTTAGATCTTGTATTCAGACTCCTGAAACTCACAGAATCCGCTGGACAAGATGATTCAGTCAATGGCGAGGTTACATCTCAACAATGACCTTAGTTACGCTGCCACAAAATGAAACTCCAAATCCCAGTCAACAAATGCAGGTTGCCTTTAGCTTAAGTCTTCAAGATGGCATTGCTGTTCTGAGTCATTCGCCACGATACATTTCACTCTAGTTTTGGCAATTAACTTACGGTTATAGCGGTTATAGTTTCGGAATGCTTGGCCTGAAGTGAGAATTAAATGCAGTTTGCTTTTCTTACACTGTCATATCCAGGACACAAATTTTTCAGGTTTGTTTAGGAAAAATAGAGTTCGTTTCAGTCAGCAGTTTCGATGACTACTTATCCTTTCGGGTAACGGAAGCAGACGCATCAGACAGTGCTTCTAGCGTTCCCCACCCTGTGCCAGTGTTTCAGTTTAGACATAAAATAGCCGGAGTCTGAAGTAGAATCTTTCCACACACTTCCCCAAGTCATTCTTGGCCGTACTTCGGGTCTTCAGCTAGACGACTGAGCAAGTAGTCAGGCCTTCCATTCTAAAAGCATTCGCAAGAAGTGCCCAAACCATCGCAGCCGTGGCCACTCTTTATAGAAACCGTACCTGAAGTCATTTAATATGGAGTGCTTCCCTTTGATTATGATAACAAGTTAGATTTGTCGTTGGCACATACTAATATTTGTCGTTACACATATTTCACATACACCGTGAAATTTAGATACTGTTTAGATATTAAACTACCAATTTCAAACCGAAGGTCAACATTATGTTTGATCACGAACCAAGCAAAAACCATGATAAAATATCTTTGACAAATGATCGTTATTTGATTGAGAAGATCAGAAGATCGATTCAAAAACTTATCATCGGCATCTATTGGAATATACTAATCGGACAGAAATCAGCGACAAATCGCGCCGCTGCAAAACACTCATCATCTTTCGCCGATTCGAGCTTTCTCTCGGTTTTTCATATAATCCTTCCAGACGATCAAACGCTCTAGTCCTTCCACCAGGGTACCAGTCGATGATTACCGTCCAGCCCCCTATAGTTTCTATTTTCTGTTATCGATGACGACGTCCTTTATTCCAGCCCGCCGACTGATCACCGTGTTGGGATGCGATCGAGACAAGAAATTCCCAACATTCCCCTTCCCATGGTTCAATCAGTGACGGATAGCTGATAAACGCATTTCGGTTTTAGTGAGTGACCCCGTCTCAGTCATGCAATATTCCGGCAGGATGGTTGACTTGAAGAGCTGCGCACAGATCACTTTCCTCTGTTGTCAAGAACTCATTGATGAAATCGAGCACCGGTCAACCAGCCCTATATCTTCGCTGAATCTCCCTAGCCTACCCATACCACATTTTGATCTTTTGGCACAGGTAAATCTACGTATCGACTTCGATACTTTCGCTGATTAACATAATCTAATTCTAGGGCAGAACATCCGATCATTGAATCTTTGCCTTTAACCAAATGATTTGTAGTTTGACTTCTGAACTTTTTCTGCCGAGATCATGTATAAGGCTTTGTAGCTGCCTGGCGTTTTTCGTATCACGTTATCAGCGAATCTTAGATGGTTGTGCAGTTCACCACTGATGTCAATCTCACCTTTTCAGTTTGTCTCTTAGAATATCATTTCCAAATAGACACTGAAGAGTTTGTGGAAAATAGTGCCCTCTTGTTCCACTCCTTTCTCTACGGGAATCCGGAAGAACTGTTGAACCGTGTGATGAACGTGAAGTACAGAAAGTCCGCTTTCATTAGCAGGTTGATCTAGGAGTTTCAAAGCCATTTCTGCAAGTGCCGTCTACACTGAATTGCAGTTAACAGGGTTCAATACTTTCTCGCAGTAATATACATTGGGAGCCGGTATTCACTCGCGCACTCCATGAGTTGATTTACGATCACGATGTTATCTGTTGCGTTGCAGATCCTTCGAAATCTTACGTGTTCCCTTAGCTGCTATTACATCGGACTGTTGGCAATCTGACGATACGTTGGTAATGAATTCAGTGAACAGATTGTAGACTTGTGAGAGCAGGCATCTCGAGCGATAGTTCTACACAATTTTCTTCTCGTCCTTCCTGAACAGCACAGTTGCTTTCGACCTTTTCCAGATAGACGGTAACCTGTTAGGCTTCAGGAAGAAACTCAATGCTAGAGCTCTCCACACCGTCTGAAAACTTGCTTTGATCATTTCAACTGTCAGAACGTCTCTCAATGGTACTTTTCCTTCATTCGTTTGCTGTGCGGCAGACGCTGAATGTCGGTTATAGGGACCGGGTATCGCCTTCCATCTGGCTGTTGAAGTGATTGTGGGTGTCGTGTCTTAAATACAAAGAACTTGGTGTAGGAAATTCTGCACCAGAGAAATAAACTCCATCTCAATTCTTCAAACGTTATTGCGTCATACCCATTCTTCAACAACGTGATGGTGGACTGTTAAAAGGCCCACTTTCTTCTGCTTTGTCTGAGGCCTCCGTGGTCTTCGGCTGTTTTGTCACAATTTAGTAATCAGGATGTCTCGAATTACTCGTTCAGTTTTCCCAAATGAGCTTGCAAAGAATAGAGAATTCCATCGTACCGACCCATCTCTCTTCATCCTCCTCCGCTTCTCTAGCAAACTTCTTGTCTTTTCTGCGAACCTTTCTTTCGCTCTTTTTTTATGCAGCTGACGTCAAGCACCGCCTCAGTTCTCAGCGAACTTCTCATAGTCACCGTCGCAACTGCCTTCGTCTCGTCGAGTACCTTCGGACGTTGTCTGCAATCTGCAGTGCTTTCCTCTCGATGCCCTCCTCAAAGGTTAGGCTGGCCCGCACCAGTATGTTTTCACTGCCGGTCATCACTATTAAATGATGGTACTAATGCTGTCTTGGATGATGCAGCATTTATCGGAAGGACAAAGTCGATCTAGTCATTCGTCATCGCATTGTGCGCGATCCATTTCCACCTCCTATTTATTTTTTCTTGAAGCCGGTTCTGCCAG